CCCCAAAACCCCAAAACCCCAAAACCCCAAAACCCCAAAACCCCTTACTATTAAAGAAATATAGGAGATGATTAGTATAATAATTTTAAAGATGAAGAACTCAGTGTTCGTATCACTCTTGATCTCAGCTCTCGTTGTTGGATTCATCGTCGTCACTTATGACGAGGACAGTTTCATGACTACCATGTATACTAGCGGTTTCATTGGAGACTCTGCCGATATTACTGAAGCAGAGTTCCAGCAAGCCTTCTCAGATTTCTTGGCTAAATACAGAAAGTCATATGTTAACTCCTATGAGTTCGAGAACAGATACTTGATCTTCAGAGATAACTATCAATTGATTTCCGATCACAATCTTAATTCTGAGCATATTGGCTTCACTCTTGATATCAATGAGTTCGCTGACTTGAGAAAAGATGAGTTCCAAGATAGATATCTTGGCTATAAAGCTCCTCCTCTGAGCCATAGAATTAACAAAAAGCTCGAGAAAATGAACAGCATGGATGACTTCCAACTCCCATCTCTTGAGTCCCTTCTCGAATCAAAGAAGACTGAGGAAGAGCCATTTGAAGACTTCACTTGGGTTGGTACTGGAAAGGTACAAAAAGTTAAGAACCAAGGATCATGTGGATCCTGCTGGGCCTTCTCCGCCATTGGAGCTGTTGAATCTGCTTACGCTATTGCACACGATACTGATGCCCTCAACCTCTCTGAACAACAGTTGGTTGATTGTGCTAGGCCACAAGGAAACCAAGGATGTCAAGGAGGATGGATGGACAGTGCTTTCGAATATGCTGAAGAGTCTTACCTCTGTACTGAAGAGGAATATCCATATAAAGGAAAGAACAATGACTGCCAACTTACCGAAGCAGATCTAACCTGTGAGGATAAAGTGCATGTCGCTGATTTCGTTGATGTCACTCCAAATTCTAAGGCTGCTTTGAGAGATGCTCTTGATAAGGGACCAGTCAGTGTTGCCATCGATGCTTCAAGCCCATTCTTCCAATTCTACAAGAGAGGTATTGTCAGATACTTGTGCGGAACTACTCTTAACCACGGTGTCCTCGCTGTCGGATATGGACATGGAGATGGACTCTTTAAATTCTTAGACGACGTCGACTACTTCGTCATCAAGAACTCATGGGGATCATCATGGGGAGACCACGGATATGTTAAGATTAGAGCTAAGGATAATAAACATGGAGGTACTTGTGGTGTTCTCCAACAACCTTCTTACCCAGTTGTTGCTTAAGTCATTATTCTCAAAATGAAATCTTACCAAGAACTATCTTTTCTTTTTCAAACTCATTTCTACATTTCAATAGATTAGATTGCGTTAATAACAATGATTTCAACTACTCATGCCCATAATGGGGTTTTGGGGTTTTGGGGTTTTGGGGTTTTGGGGTTTTGGGG